TTATACTTTTATTCTGATTCCGATAGATAAAAATTTATTTTTTTTTAATTTAAAATTTCGGAGCTAAATTTTTATATGAATATTTATTACTTCTTAACATAAAATTTTATATTTTTAAATTCTTTTGTCAACAAATATTTATACTAATTTATTACAATTGTTTCTTAAAAAAATAAAGTACTGTATTAATTTTGAAAATTAAAGTTTAAGTAAATAAAATATTTTATAAAAAATTTCTAATCTAATATTTTCTTAGCATAAGAAAATTTTTGTACTTTTTTCGAATTTCTAGGGGAGGGGCAGCTGCCCCCTCCAGCCCCCCTTGGCGACGCCCTTGAGAAGCTATCTTTCAAATATTAACATAATGAAATGTAAAATGTAGGATATATTCATAAATAATTAATGCTATCATTCACCTTAAAATAAGGAAAATATATCCACATAAACATATTATGTAGGTCATAGAGGCGTTTTTTTTTTCGAGATATGGAATCTTGTTTAAACACACATTTATTTAAATACCCTTCAACATAGTAAATCGAAAATAACTCCACCATCAAAAGCTTAAAAAATTATTGGTTAATAGTAATTTTAATTTTTGAAGGGATAAGCTTTCAGAAAATTTGACATTTCCAAGTCAATGATTTTTTTGTACTTTTCATAATTAAGTACTTTATATTATTTAATTTCTAATAAAAAATTGAATAAATGTTTTTTTTGTGAAATGAGTAGTTTGGAAGTTATATTTTGTTTCTCCAAACATGCTAGTTTATTTTACATAACAAAAATAATCGAGCATGTCTCGCTGTTTAAACAACCTTAGAAATATCAACCGGAATTAAATGTAGATATTTAATTTTCAAAATATTCAGTGGCGTCGAAATATTGTTGCTTTAAAAGATGGTATCTTTCAGCATCTCCGCCACCGATTGTCAGATTTGAGCATCAGTCATCAAATTTTTGTCCATAATTTGTTGTACATAAATCTTGTGGTAACTAGGTTTGTCCACACTTGATATGAAGATACAGTTACTACACTTATATGATATAATCTTGTGAGGTGGAAAAATTGGCTAAGCAGTTTAGTTACAACTAACAAATTTCGTTCTCCTACTACACTCAATAGAATTGGCATTATCATAGACCATTAAATAAAATATATAGATTTGCAAATTGCACAAATAGCATAATACGTACCTAGGAAAATACACAATTGTAGCATAAATATGATAACCTGCAAATTGTATTAAACTTTCGAAAAATACTGTTTGTAATATTTAAATGCAACATTTTGCATTGTAATTATTTTTACAATAGCTTTAACTATTAATAATACTTTTATTACTTACTTACGGTTTCCAGATTGTCACATTTCCAATCAACGTTCTACGAAAGGTTATCCCAACATGTATCGGGATATACAGGGTGTTAGTAAATAAGTGCGACAAATTTCAGGGGGTGATTCTACATGAGAAAATAATGGCAGTTTGCTTATAAACGTATGTCCGCAAATGATTCGTTTTCCGAGATACGGGGTGTCAAAGTTTTTCTTAAAAACTGACGATTTAATTTATTGCTCTGAAACCGGTCGAGATGTGCAAATGAAATTTGGTGGGTTTTAAGAGGTAGTTATTGCGCATTTTTTGACACGCAATTAAGAATTTTATGTTCATCATTGGCGCGCGTCGTGTAATAATCTCAATTTTTTTAAAGAAAAAAAAATGGTACGCCACTGAGATATTACAAATTAAATCATCATCATCATCATCATTTTTGAATTCCTCGTTCAATTTGTGACAAAAAATCTCTCTTGCCTTTTCTTCGTATGGGGCACCGTTATGATGCAAAAAAATAAAACATCTTAACGCATATTTTTTTTATTTTTTAATACATTACCTAGTAGGCTACTGTCAACATTTGTCTGTTAAATACGAATATTTTTAAGAAATGTCAAATTAGCGTTTCGTCATTATTAATTTATTAAGCTTTTAGTTTGCTATAACATTAGTGTTAATAAGTAATTAATTTTTCTTTTATCGAAAAGAATGGAAAATTTTACAAATGCGGAATTGTCAGACATGCATTTTGTCTATGGTCGAAGTAATGGAAATGGTCGGCAAGCTCGACGATTGTATGCTGAGTTGTATCCAGGACGTAGGGTACCTCATCACACAATATTTGCTCGTCTTCATCAACGTTTGCGCGAAAATGGTTCATTTAAGAAACAAACGGTTGACTGTGGGCGCCCTCGAGAAGTACGAACTGTGCAACTAGAAGAAGCAGTTCTCGAGTTAATTGCGGAGTCACCTGAAACAAGTACTCGAAAAATTGCCAACATATTGAATGTAAGCAACTTCACTGTATTTAAAATTCTTAAAGAACAGCAATTGTATCCGTTTCATATTGAACGTGTGCAAGCTCTACTACCTAGAGACTTTTTTCCGCGCCTATTTTTTTGCCAATGGATTAATCATCAAATCGCTCAAATTCCTAATTTTTTAAATGCCGTTTTGTTTACTGACGAGGCTACTTTTGGACGACAGTGTATACGAAATTTCCATAACAATCACTTATGGGCTGAGGAAAACCCCCATGGAATCTTTGAAGCTCATTTTCAGCATCAGTTTTCCGTAAATGTATGGCTTGGGGTAATTGATGATCATTTAATCGGTCCATATTTCCTCCCACAACGACTAACAGGCGAATCTTATCTTAATTTCCTACAGGAAGAGTTACCTGTTCTTCTTGAAGAAATTCCTCTACAGCTGAGACAACACCTATGGTACATGCATGATGGTGCACCAGCCCATTTTAGCATTAATGTACGTAATCACTTAGACACAGTATATCCAAATCGTTGGATA